ATATTAAAATTTGAAACTATCTATTTTTTAAATGTATTTCATCTTCGGTAGTTTATACTTTTAGTCGAAAAAATTTTATTAGTATTATTATTCAATTTACGAACTAGCTTGATTATAAAATATAATTATAATATACCGTGATTAATATTAGCGTAAATGGTATGTGTATTTTTTTTTTTAAATTTCTGGTAGGTATGTTAGAAAAACACGCTGACCTGATTTAAAGAGTAAACTCTTAGAAAATTTTACTAGTGTTAATTTGATAATAATATGTTGCTTATATAAACAGACGTATGTGCTGAGCAATTAAAAATAATTAAAATAATATATTTTTTATTTAAAAGATAAAAGTTTATTACATATTGTATTTAAAGGAAAATTAAATTGTAGATTTGATTTTAATTTATGAGTTTAAACCAAAATACGCAATTATTACATTAAATACAATTTTTTCATTAAATTATTAAACCAGTATATTTCATTAATTCAAGTTTAACGCATTTACATTAATTGCATTTGTTGATATCGTGAGAACATAATAAATTATTGTTATATTATATTTATTTAAACATCATTTAAAATAACAATATATAGACAGATGAAAATAAATACTGGAATATATTGTTGTAACACATGCAATTCACCAATATCTATATATGTGTTAAGGTGTATAATCGCAGTAGGTGAATGTTGACAGTCACCAATGTATGTTGACATTTACAATTTGTGTTTGGTAAATGTTGACCGGTTTGACGTAGTGGTTATTATACACTAATCGTTTCGTTGAAGCAGATGAAACTAAAATTATTTACTATGTAAATAACGAAGAACTATACGACACTATGTACAAATGATAAAGCTCATACAGAAACTAGTTGTGGAGGGCGAACCAGAATGATGAACGAATTTAATAATATAATATAATATGAAGTTGTCATGTTATTTTTAAATTTATGTGCTCAATGTCAAACCAAAAAAAAATTCCCAAAAAAAGTATTGTAATCAAAGCTATTATAAGTCGTGAACTTAATTCCCTGAGTAAAGTAGACTTAGTAGATATGTAAACTTACAAAGATGGTGAATTTAAATTCGTATTTAATTATCAGGATCACCTAACAAAGTTTATTCAGTAAAGACCTTTAAAATTTAAAACTGCGGATGAAGCTGCACATCACTTAATAAGTATATTTCTTATTTTCGATTCTCCAAATACAACGCACGAGAGTTTATAACACAAAAAAATGTAATTGTAAGAGTGAGGGAAAACTTTATAACAGTAAATGTTACGATAGTTACCGTGTTATAATAAATAAAACTTAAAAAAAAATACAAGCTACTTTAAAACTATTAAAAAATAAATTTTTTAAACTTTATTTACTTATGAATTTATTACCTATCTATTTAATTATATATTTTATCTGACATTTCAACATTCACTAAATAATTATAGCGTATGTCAACAAATACTGGTAAATTTTTGCATTATGAGGTATTTAAAAAAAATTGATAACATTCCCTAAAATGATCAGTAAATGTCAACATACACAGGTGACTGTAAAATTCACTACCATGTGGTCATACACCTTAACATATTATATTTAATGACTTGTCTTGAGTAATTCATCATCGCCTATTCGGAACCGCTGAAGCTATGAGTATAAAATTTAGACAGTAGTTTTTTTTTTTTTTTGTGAAGTAAACACCTAATAAGAAAGGATTTTTTAAAATTTAATTCTTACAGAGGTTAAAAGGGGTAAAAATGAAAAAAATTGATAACAAATTATATTTTGATATACATTTTGGTCAGTGCATTGCTAAAATTATTTAAGTAATTATTGTTAAAACCGTATCATAAAAATGTTACAGATATATTTTTTTTTTTATATACTTGTTTATTTAAGTTAAAATTTAATGATACCACTGATAATTGATATATCTTGGATGAATAACTTATATTCAACACTTTATCAATAACATAGTATATTATACCAGATTGCAAGTTAAAGCTTTGCACAAAAATATAACAGAAGCAATAGTTATCACTGAGTGTGCTCGAAAATATATAGTTTTTATTCTGAGATTAACGTTAATCCCAACTGACTGTTTTTTTGAGTTTAAAAGAATACGGTTCCTTCTTAAAGTTTTCTTTGCTATGACTATTAATAAGTCTCACTGAGTATGGCTGGTATTGACTTGAGAGAATAAAGTTTTTTACATGGACAGCTCTATGTCAAATGTTATAGAGTTAGCCATGCCAGTAGTCTGGTTATTTTAGTTTCAAAAGGCAGTGCCAAAAATATTATTTAAAAAGAGTTTTATTGAGATGAATAAAAGATTTCAATATAAAAATTCACCATAATGTATATATTAATGTTACAATGACGTTGTAAAACTTAATTAGTTTTAAAAGAGTTCCCAAAAACTGCAATTATTAATAAAACAATATAATGTAATAAATAATAATAAAATTTTTAGTAATAATAAAACTAATAAGAATTTGTAAAATATATTTTCATAGGCATATTTTATTTTAATATTTCCTCGATTAAAATTGTATTTTACAATTTGTCTTCGAAATATTAAAATACACTAAGTTTTTGCCAATTTCTGGTTGTTAAAATACATGGACAACCTAGGGTCAATAAATCTAAAAGCAACCTGTAATATAAAAACTGATAAAATAAAAAGTTATACGTTGGTAACACAAGTAACTGCACACGAGCGAAACCCGGTTATTCAGCTTATGTAATATATTATTATATTATACTATATTTAATGCCGTTCTTGATATAATTATAAAAAATATATGCAAAACATAAACTTACGAACAAATTTACCGTGATTGTATTACACAATTTTTAAACATAATTATACACGCAGAAAAAGTTTTCTTATTATTTTTAATATTTTTGCTAAAAATAACATTTATTAAATTTGTTGTTAATCGCTTACTACGTCCTCAACGTTAATTTAATTTTGTAAATATTTTTGGACAAATTTTGTTCGTCTTCTCTTAATATTTTTCCTAATGTTACAATCTAGTTTCAATATAAAGTATAAATTCTAAACAGGTTTAGTTCTTGAGAATTTTTTTAATTTATATTTTTTATTAACTAATAATGTATTATTTTCTAAAAAATGAACACACAAAAAACATTTTCAGTTTTTCCATAATCCGAGTATAAAACGCAGAAAATCATTAAAATGTATACACTATACATATAATATAAAGATAGTTATTTAGGATTTACATTTTACAAATCAATGACTTAACAGAGTTTCTCTTCATACTCAATCATGATTTAGTGAGAATAAAATAAATAGTAATACTGTTTAATCTCAAATAAACATTTTAAAATTTAAATTAAAACAAAAAATATTATTTTTTTTTAACCATACCTACACTATTTTATAAAATAGTAGTACCTGATAAAACTTATCAACTAAGAAACTATAGTTTAAAGTGGTAGTAAATTAAAAATAATAATTAAAATATTATAGCTTAAAAAAAATAAAAAAGTTAGCTGAATTTATTTATTTTCAAAGCTTGCTTAGATAACAAAATACCGATTTACATCTATGTAATTATAATAATGGTAATAATTTATTCAAATATTATGTTATAAACATAAAAGGATGGTTTGATTAAAAAAAAAAAAAAAAAAACTCTGTATCCGAGAAAACTATTAAAACGTGAATTTGAATAATAGTTCCCTAACTTTTTGTCCTGTAAAACATTTGTAATTTTTTTTTTCGTAAACTAACTTAATATTGAATTAACCAAATATAAGATTGAATGATTTGTTTTTATTAATTTATTGTTAACTCAATAAAATTATAATTACTTATTTGATTTTTTAATAAAAATATTAGAACATATAAATTAAATCTAAAAACATTACTTTAAATAAATATACAACAAATTAATACTTATAAGTAATAAACCAGTTTAAATACAAATTTTTCAATATTTGGTTTCAAATTTTTAGTCAAGTTTAAAATTAATATTTTAGTATAAAGTGTGCAAAACGATTAAAATGTTTTTAGGAACAATTTAAAGTTTTCGTACAAACAGCAACAGTCTTTGAAGTATTATAAACAATTACTTCTGCTCGTACTTATACAACTAATTTAATAACAGACTTTTAAAATCTTGATTACAAGCTCACAAGACATACATTTTACGGTATTAACTTCTAAAATTACGCTAACACTATATTTATCAAACAAAAATATATTTTAGAAATAGTGACTAAAGTATTTTAGTATAGTTATGAGCTGTTATAAATATAAAAATAAAATATTTTATAGAGATTTAAATATTTATATAAAAAAAAAAATAATAAAGTATTTTGATATTTTAGAGAAGTGTAGAAAAATTGTAAGAATCTTGGCCGATACAGTAGTGTTCATAGTTTTATCATCCGAATGAACAGAGGAATTTATTGATTTTCTAATAATCATACATGTTTTTCCAGCTTTCATTAAAATTGCTTTTTCCTATAAGGGCACTTCAAAAGTTTTGTGATTATAGTTTCTTAATAGATTGAAAATTTGACACAGTTGATAGTTACTTTAGAAATGTACTTTTGAAATTACCCATTAGTTTTCAAATACAGTTTGGTATTACACGAATGATTTGGGTTAGATTACTAAACGGTAATGTGTAATTTTAGGTTTTAAGTTTTAATACAATTTGTAAAGATGGATTACATTTTATTTTAAAAACTATTATTATATATTATTAAGGACAATGTTACTCGTTACCTTTTATGAGTATTTATATTTTTATAAACTATTTAATATGAATAGAATTAGATTAAAATAATAGGTACATATTTAGTAAATTTAACTCTACTTAGACTCATTTTTTCATGTGGAAGAATAAATATTTTTTCTTAAATTTAAAATACTTAATTGAGTAATAATAACTTTAACTATAGTTAGAGACATTTTTCCAATTTATCATAGTTAAATTAAGTACACATAATTTTATTCACCTTTTTGAAATGTTTCATCATCGCATAAAAATTTGAACGTATATTTGGCTCCAATTACGTTGTCGTTGACCATATTCTTTTCATCTAATGTTAGACATAGATTTGAAAAATCATCAAAGCACTTCATTCCCATTTTGAATCCTCTATTTAAACATAATAATAATTGTATAAATACATGCAATTTTAAAATAATAAAAAAAAAATATATTTAATTATAAATCCATTTATTTCAAGAAAAAATATTTATCAATACTTTTAATATAAATAATATTATTGTTAATAAACGGAATGAATTGTGATTTTTTTTTTTTTATTTTTGAATTTAAAAATGTATAAATATTATTTTTTATAATAAATATAAGGCGTAGTGATATATATATATATATATATATATAAATATTAAAATAGTACTATAGTAGAATTGTTTGAACGAGTCAACTAGTGTTGAGTTTTCAGGGAAATTGCGAATTAAATTAATAATATATTGCAGTCATAATTCATCATTAAATTAAAAAAAAAAAAACCATAAAACTCGTTCTATCATTGTAAATATTTATAACACTATAAAGTTAAATAATTATTTTTACTTATCTAAAAAAATATGTAGAGCGTATTTGATTTTGACACATATTAGACTATATTATAGTCATTTATTTTTATTTTAAAATTAATTCGGCTTGTAAGCAAAATTTATCACACAAAATTAGTGTAATTGTAATTAAAAAAAAATACACATGATACGTATAATATACAAGGTGATATATTTAAATTTAAACACTCTTTATTTTAAAAATTTTAATTTTTCGAAAATATTATTTTACACAAATTTATGTAATTGCACACCTTTAATACTCACCTAACAATATTGGTCAACTATTCTGCTCATTAAAACTTTAATTTCTTATCAATTGTGAAAAATGTCAGTAATCTATACAAATTCATACGAAATTATATACAAAAAAATATCGATACTCATTTTTAGCACTATAGTCCATTTCTATATAATTCGAACACGGTCGAATGGCCGTCACCGTTTCGCCGTTGCCACTTCGCCGGAAAATCACTTCACCATTGCTACTTCGACGTAAGTCTAAGTTAAAAAATTCCCGATAGAATACATATATAGATCAAATACAGCTATGGAAAAAATATTTGTGTATGAGGTTTATCATAACTTAAAATTGCGTTTAGCAGATCACTGACCTTGGCACTACCAAATAAAAATTTTTGCGAGGAATTTCTCAAAATATATCATTAAAATGGTATTACTATTATTATTATAATTACATAATGACGAAAAATAAATATTTTTGTAAAATATATCTTTAAAATGTATTATTATTAGACACTGAAAAATGTTATGTAGGTAGTAAGTATGCTTAAAATAATAATTATTTTTATTTATTTATTTATTATTATTGAATATTATAAAATTCACAAATGTGTAAAATAATGTGTGTAATATTCAAAATAAGTCCTATTATTATTAAGTATTGACAAATGTAATGTAGATACTTATAATAATCAAAATATGTCTTTAAAATGAATTATTATTAAGTATTTACAAGTCTATGTTTTTTTATAAGTGCATTTTTTTTTTAACCTAATGGGTATTTTTTAATGGAAAAATGGCCTTACATCGAAATGATGATGGAGAAATAGTTTTATGGCGAAGTAGCGACGGCAAAACAGTGACAGCGATGTGTCCTAGATCGCATACAATCAAACAGTATTTAAAAAAATTGTCCAATCATTAAAAATAATAATTCCAATAATTATTACCACAATAAATTTCAATATTCTTTAACTAAGAACTACTTGTTTAAAATTAGAATGAAATTTTCCAAAAATATTCTAAATCGGTAATAATAAAAAAAGTAGTCATTCAAAAAAAAAAGAAAAAAATAAGAAATTAAATGAAAAGTATATTATAAGAAATATAATATATATTTTTTCAAAAACTCAGTTTTATAATAACATAATATTATATAAAATAATGAATGGAAACTTTTAAATATATCACCAAGTATATTCGAACATTCATCAAGTGTGTATTATTTATTTGAGGGATGTCTTTTATATTGTGTTAATATATATTTACAGTCTTACACATTAATAATTTAATTTTACATTGCAAGCATTTCAAGCAAACCAACACACGTATCATAACTTTAATAATAATTTAAGATTAATACGATTAACTGGATTGTTTCTAAGCATATTTATGGAACTAAAATAAAAATATTTCAAACTATTCATAGATATTTTAAAATGAAAATTAAACTTTATTAATACATTGTAAATCATTTCTATTGTAATTAACTTGAAACGGTTAGGTACAATATTTTAAGGGAGTGCAATGCAATAAAATTTAAACGTTAAACGTATTATGAATTATGATTTGGCAACAGTGGAATAATATAGTATGAATTTAATCATAAACTCATAAACTAAACAAAGCCATGGAACTTAAACGTATAATAATTATTTATGAAACTGATTATTCATTATTTTTTTTTTTTAATTACTTGCAAACGATATCCACATCAGCCTTCGATTTTGGAATACCGACCGGATTATTGCGTTCCAAAAAAACTGACACGTTTTGCATACAAAAGTCTAAACTGTTTTTACAAAGCGTTTGCGTGTTATTGATATCTCCACCTGAAAAATAAATTAAAATTATTTCCAACGAACATTTTAATATCTACTCTGGTCGGAAACACACAGTTGCGCGCACGTGTTAAGTTTTTCGAATGTTTCATAGTTAATGTTTAGACAGTTAAATCCCTCGATATAACTGAATATTTAGTTTATGATGAAGAAAACGTTATTCGTTTCATTTATTCGACAACGCTATATATAAAGGATAGAGAAATAAAAGTTTTGGGGAATAAATCATATCGACACACGAAGCCCGGATTATGTCATTTGAATATTATTGTGTTGTGTTATATGATATTTGGAAAACGAAAACACATAATATTTTCGAGCGCGAGCAGTCTAAATACGTTAGTTGCGGTATCTAATGGTTGTTTCATGAAAACGTGTAATTTTAATCAATCTCGAGTATCTTTTGTTTTAAATAACACGCCGAGTATCTACAGCGGACACTGAAAGAGGGTAGGTACAGCCGTTTCGGCGAAACAAATTAAAATGCAATTATACAGTCTGTTTCTATGTATAATAAATTATTTTATACTTTAATTCAATCGATAACGCTGAACTTACAGAACATTTTCATATTGTACTCTGCATGATATAAATAAAATGTACACCTGATAGGTAATTATTAAATGTTTAAACAAAAATTAATAAAGTATCAAAAACATAAAGTTTGATGGCGTTAAATCTTTTGCATTTACTACAAAGTAATTTTTAAAGATATAGTACAATAAAACGAACACAAACGATGGACGCTTGAAGTGTTGATTTTATTATTTAAAGTTGATTTTAAATTATGTGTACAATATTCCACTAGAAATATTTTTGAAAGGTTTTTTTTTCGTGATAAAATCTTAAATATTTTAATAAATATCCTCGAATTTCATATTATATTCGTAGTATTTGATATAAAAATGCATTGTTTTATTTATAGCTTGATTTAATAACTAGTTAACTAAATTGAAATTGTTTTATCATTGGCTTAAATATTATTTATAAAATTATAATAATTTGAAGTATTTAAATGAGAAATGTATTAGTTTTAAAACGTGATTTTAAAATGTTCATTATATATTATTTTCCTGTAAATAAGTACTTATGATTGAGCTGTAGAAGAAATGTTCAAAAAGTTTCAAGTAGCGTTCTTATATAGATGAATTCTCAAAGCTGTATAATACTTTGAATAAGCCAGATTTTTTTTCTATAGTTTTGCAAGTGTATTAAAGAAAAACTTCAGCCAATAGTTACTCAAATATTAGAAAATCCTTAAAATTGTTATCATTGTTTTCATGTATAATGCTTATAATAATATAGTTGTATTAATGTGCTGCAACAAGGTGAGGTAATAGAGACAAGTTATCAGAATTAAATGTCTATTGATATCTATTCTAACCGAAATGTGTTTAATTTGTGCTAATTAAGTCAATATTAATTAATATTAAATCAATTTTAATTATTAAAGTAACTATGAGTAAATACTAAATAGGGTACCTGTTACATTTTTTATGAAACAACTACCAAACTGTTTTTAAATTTGGTTGCAATAAATTAATATTTCATTAATATTTTACGATAGAGTATTATGAAAATTAATTGATTCCTGACTTGTTAATTATGTTTTTAAATGTTGTAATTTAGTGTTTTTTTGTAAAGAATACGCAAAACTATTAAATAGTTATTAAAAGTATTAAACTAATTAAAATTACAGTAAGTTTTAGCCATGAATATTGTACTTTTATAATGAAACAAGTTTTATGATTAAAACCTATTGATCATACTTTAATAGTAATATATTATAAATAAACGTATAAAATTGACGAAAAACTGAGTGATAGTTTAGACAGTATTTTTCTTAGAATATTTAAATAAATAAAAAATAGTAACATATTTATTTTTAAATTCATACATCATAAAAATATATTGATATACTTATGTAATATTTTTACTTTTTATTAGATATTATTTTATCATAGATATTATCATTTAATTGTTTGGCTTATTATTCAAATAAATTATACGAACTTAATATTATTTGTAAAATTAACATTAATTAGTAATAAGGAGTACAGAATAGCTGCTTATAATGCGTTTATAAAAATAATTGAGCAGATATTAAAATAATTAATTATTTAAAACAATTGGTTTTGAATATATGCAAACAAAATATTTTACATATTGTAAGGTATTAAAAAACGTGTCCAGTTTAAAAATGTCCTAAATTTATTAAAATTTAATTAAATATAATATTTACAATGATAATGAAAAAAATAAAAATATTTGAAAATAAAACATGAAAATATAATTATCTTAGTAATTATACTGCACTATATACCTTAATATATATTTATGTATTTTTTAAAAAACATTTTATGTAAATAAAAAAACTTTAAAAATGGTTTTTGATGAAAAAAAATAATAAATGTATAGGTAGATGTACTATATTAAATAATTTAAAAATATGTTATTTGTCATTTTTATGCGCCAAATAGCTTAATGGATGTCAACATATCACCATCACATTTTTTTTTATTATTATTAAAAATGAATACGTAATGTTATTTGCGTAAAACACTTAACTCCCTAAACATAGGAGTGATAATGCAATTAATAGAAAATAAAACGGAACAGGTTAATACCAAACTTAATCAACATTATTGGTAAGCAGACTCGGATGAAACGTGTACTTTGTATAATATGTTTTCATACTATTATTGCTAGTAGGTACGTGTGATAATATTAAGACGTTATAATTCATTTGACGATGCATGCGTAAAATTGTTACGCGATACCATTCCCAATGTAACTATATTCATGAAATAATAATGTAATTAAAAATAAGGGACACTTTCAATTAAGTCAAATCATTAAAAACATTTTCTTAAAATGTAAAGGCAATAAAAATCAAGTCGTCAATAATTCTTCAAAATAATTACCAAATTGTTTTATTTTGATATTACATACTAAATTGAGTTATTTCTAAATGTTTATTTAAGTCTTAAAATTTGAGAAATATAATTTAATTTAAATTTAGTTATATCAATTTAACTGTAATTTAATATTATTTTATTGAAATATAATCTTGTCTCCAACTAAGGAACAAAACGACAAATTGGAGAAACTCACATAGGTATACGTATTATTTTTAAAACACGGAATATCGAAAGTATCAAGAAATCAATAAATTACCATTTAATCTTAGTTATACTGAATATTGGTTATCAGTAGCCGTAGTATAAAGTTGTCTATAGCGCTGTTACTCCATAAATGCGTACGCTTATAATAATCAAATGCATTCCTACAATAAAAATACTTCACCTCAAGATCTCAGTCTTCCTGATACTTTAAAAAAAAGAAGTAGCAGTGTTGCTTTTACACCTCCTCATACAAGCAAAAATAAATTCTTTCCACTACTAATTCTCCAAGACCACGTTGAAATGGACGATAATACAGAAAACGACAGTTCTTAACAACCATAGGTCAGACCTAAAATTCCATCTATTTATGTTTACAACATTTCCGATTACATACATTTTCATACATCACTAGCTAATATAACTTTTGAAAATTTATCCATCATAAACACTAAATCTTCTCTAAAATTAAACTTAAACTCTATAGATAACTATATAGAACCGCAACAAAACTTTTTGATGAGTCTAAAATTGAATACTACACATATTAACTTCCTGATAATAAACAACTATCTGTAGTTATTAGAAATCTACCCGTAAATATATCGGAAGTTTGAATTCACAACGAACTTCAAGAACTTAATTTTGAAGTCGCTTCAGTCACACGTCTTCAAAACCAGTTTAAATCTCCAATACCAATCGTAGTCGTTATACTATCCAAATCATCTACTGAAATATATTCTTTAATCAGAGTTTTTTATTGTGTAGTTGTAGTAGAATCAAGAAAATCCTCAAAGGATAGCTTACAATGTTCAAACTGTCAAAGATTTTACCTCACCAAAAAGTTTTGTCATTTACCACTAAAGTGTGTTATATGTGCGGGTGATCATCACTATAACCTATGTCAGAAATCAACAGAAGCTCCTCCAAAATATTTCAATTAGCATACCAGCGTCTTTTCATGTTATTCCTTATACTTGATAAAAAATCTCCAATACAAAAAAAAAAAAATGCTCTCCTCTTATATACAATCAAATACTAAGTTGACTATTCGCATATGCTTGTCCAGTCTGGTGAGAATATGTGACCTCTTACATTAGTAACATTCAAATCTTCCAAAACAAAATGAAAACCTGCGCAAAGACCTTAAAATCCAGGAAATCGTAGACCACATAAAAGTCTTATCAGAAAACTGTCGTAGTTCTCTGCTAAATTCATCTGGTTCAGTTCATTATAATCTTCACATACATCCACCTCAACGTAGATTAAAACGTGGACGTCCGCAGGATCTTCTTATTTAACAACACCACACAATACGCTGTAGCTGTATGTTATCTATTAAAACTTGCAGTATTTTATTGTTATATATGTTTTTATAATTATTGTATATGTTTATATTATTGGGTAGAACACGATTGTGTACGTTTATACTTTTTGGCAACAAGATTGCGTATGTTTGTTGATGGGTTGTCGAATGTATTGAATTTACCATATACTTAATAAACATCTAGCAAAATATGTACACTACTATAACAATCAATATAAAATAACAAAATATGTATACCTAATGGGAATAACTAAATAATAGTAAAATAATAAATAAATATATATAACCGTTGATAAATTATTAATAAAGTTTTATATTTTGTACACAATAATGTAAAAATCAAGTAAAATTGTACACAATCGTGTACTTAAAAGGTATCACCGACAAACCGACAACGAACGTACGAAATTGCATTTTACCCTATTTCAAATTTCTTTTTTCAACTTAACTTCAATTAATTATAATAAAAAAATAAAATAAAAAATATTGTGTGTGAAAAAATTAAGATAAATTTATCAAAGATTTGCAAGGGTAGTTATTAT